CTATATACTATATATATATATATATATATATATATATATATATATATATATATATATATATATATATATATATATATATATATATATATATATATATATATATATATATATATATATATATATATATATATATATATATATTAAGTTCTGTAATTGTACACTCCATACTATGTTAAGATGAAAATGTTCTAGGGTGTGTATTTTATGATCTAGTAATTCGAAGGTGGCGGGTTCAAGACCCAGCCGCGGCAGACAACATCTTTCTGCCTACGCTGGGAATGGAAATTATGAAATACACACTCGAGAGTATTTGCTACTTATCATGTTACGGAGTGAACAATAGGCCTAACACAATATAACATATATATATATATATATATATATATATATATATATATATATATATATATATATATATATATATATATATATATATATATATATATATATATATATATATATATATATATATATATATATATATATATATATATATATATATATACCAAATATATATGTATTTAGAATCATATATGAGTAGAGTGCTCGATATACCGAAGTATAGACCTAATATAGATAAAGATAAAATAAACCTGGTTTACTTCATAAAAATAAATAAAGAAAATAAATAAATAAATCTTAAAAATAAATAATCGTGAATAAATCTTATGAAGTAAACCAGGTTTATTTTATCTTTATCTATATATATATATATATATATATATATATATATATATATATATATATATATATATATATATATATATATATACCAAATATGTATTTAGAATCATATATTTGTAGAATGCTCGATATACCGAAGTATAGAGCTAATATAGATAAAGATAAAATAAACCTGGTTTACTTCATAAGATTTATTCACTACAAACTTGTTTCGTATGACAAGCAATGCTTGCCACACTCATCAGGTGAATTTAAATGTCGCGCTATGTTGTTGCCAAGGTTATATATACTATATACATGTTTGGCGTAAACGGAATGTTCAAGTATTAAGTTACGTATAGATTACATATATATACAGATAATATTAAGTAATGTATATTGCTTAAGAGAAATTTGTTTCTATGTCTGCATTTCGACAAAAGTTCACTTCTTTAAATTCAAGAAGTGAACTTTTGTCGAAATGCAGACATACAATCACTTTCAAAAGTTGTTGGGACACATGCAGTTTTAAGACTTAAATCAAACTATACAGTTTGCTACACACAATGCCGCACCCCTCCCCTCCCCCTTCCCCAATCAATGTTGTTTTCTCGATTCGAATACCAATACTCATCAAACTTGACGAACAATGGCACACAACATTGAATAGGGGGCGGGGGGATCGACATTTGTTAAAATTAAAAGGTTTTGATGCATCTGTCCCAACACATTTGAAACTGATTGTCTGAACCCCATATCCCACAACATTTTACATATCTCAAAAATATAGGTAACAGAATGGTCCAAGAACATAGTATTTTAGCTCCATTTTAAAGCTTAAGATATGTAATATAACATTTTAAAACAATGACGCTTCTTTGCAATTCAGAAAGTTAATAATTAACAGAATATGAATATATATTTTATTTCATATGTCTTTTTTAATCACAAATATTTTATGTTTTGTTTGTTTTTACAAATCTTGCTAGAGTACAAGTGGGTTATTTGAGATGTTCTAATCTGTCAATAAAGACAGGTATCGCAACTGTTTTACGTTAGATCTATCATACTTAGTGGTCTTAGTGTTAGTTTACAGCATAGTAACTACAGCGATAGATGAAGGGAAATACACTATTGGTATTTTTCTTGACCTAGCTATCCAAAGCATTTGATACTATTAATCACCAGATTTTGATTAATAAGTTAGAGCACTATGGAATAAGAGGAACGTGTCAAAAGTGGTTCAAAAATTACCTAAGTAACAGAAAACAAATTGTAAAATACAACCAAACCAAATCAGAAGAAATGACAATAAAAAGTGGAGTCCCCCAGGATTCAATATTAGGGCCACTCCTGTTTTTACTATACATTAATGACATTCAAAACTGTAGTAAATTAATTTCGATTATATTATTTGCGGATGATACAACTATTTCTTACAGTGATAAGTGTCTTAAAACGCTCAATGAAACTATTCAATTAGAATTAGACAAAATTTCAAATTGGCTAAATGTCAATAAACTTTCAATAAATATCTCAAAAACAAAGTTTATTGTTTTTAGGTCGTCAAAGAAAAACCAAAACTATGATACAACAATTTTGTTAAACAATGAAAATATTGAACAAGCTAAAACAACTACATTTCTGGGTGTGATCATTAACGAACACTTAACATGGAGTCATCATTTAGATATGATTCACAAGAAAATCATGAAATCTACAGCAATAATATCTAAATGTAGACATTATATAAATATGAATGCTCTAAAGCTACTATACTATGCCTTAGTCTATCCATATCTGATTTATTGCAACTTAATATGGGGTAACACATACAAAACAAGAATTCAAAGGTTAGTAAGCATCCGAAAAAGATAATGAGACTAATAACATTTAATTTTTATTTCGAACACACAGAACCAATTTTTAGAGATCTAGAAATATTAAGCATTGAACAAATAAATTTCTACCTCACCAGTATATTTATGTTTCGATATAATCATTCAGAAAATCTACCCGAAATATTTAACAATTATTTAACAGCTAATTATGAAATTCACGACCACAACACAAGAAGTGCATCTCAACTTCACACAACTTTCAAAAGAACGAACTATGCAAAACATACTCTTGCTCACAAAGGAATAAATGTTTGGAATGTTCTCTTAAATAAATACAAAAATATTAAATCTTACACTTCTTTCAAAACATGTATTAAAAAACACTTGTTATCAAATGAAAACGAAATGCAAATTGCATTGATATATAAACTGTCCTATTTGTACATATAACTATCTTTATTTACTGATTATGAACTGATTATCTTTAGTCTATAACAAATGATGTTTCTGTAAATATATATAACATAGTCTAGCGGTCTTAAACAAAAGCCTTATAGGTTTCTAGTAGGCCCCTAGCCCTACTGTAATAATGAATTAGTAAACTTGTGTAAATATTATTAACATTTTTTTGGGCGGAATTAAATTAAATTAAATTAAATTAAATTAATAGTAATATAGCATCCGGTTATTATTCGCAGGCGAGCAATGGCTGAGTCAACAGCTAACTCGGGTACCCCGAAGCTAAGGAGCGTTTATTTAATCACTTTTAGTCAATGTGACAGTTCACATCTTTCGCGAGCAGAATTTGCAAATATAATTGTTGACGCATGGCATTCGCGCTACCGATCAAGGATCTGTCAGTGGGTAGTTTGTTAGATTTCAAACTTATTGGCAATAACAAGCACAGTAAAAACATTACATTTGCCAATGCAATTCAGTAATTATGTTCCGGTAAATCCTATATGAATTTCGTAAAAACGACTTTGTAAAATACTCTGTAAGTCAAGTAGGTCATATATGCCTTTCAGACAATCACTTTCAAAAGTTGTTGGGACACATGCAGTTTTAAGACTTAAGAGGGCTTGTCAGTAAATATCAAACAAGTTTGGCCAACCTTCAAATATCATTTTAGATCATAGTTCTAGGAATGATAGACCTAAGTATCCCAAGAATTGCTGTGTAGTTAGTTGATCAAATATATTGCTTTTTAGAGAAGAAATTCGCATTTCTTCGAAGACGGTTGGAAATGCTATTTTTAGCCCCTACAATTGACTGCATTTTAGCGGCTTCAACTCAAGAAAATACTGATTCTACGCACATAAAACTACCTCAGTCTACTAGTACAATTCTCACTCGACAGATTGTGCGACTTTGGAGTCAATAGAGCAATTCTGACCTTTGAAATTAATCTTATTCGCAAGACACGTAAAACGAGTCGATAAAAGTATGTTTTACAAAAATTCATATTGTGAATGTGCTTAAGCTTTGAATGCCTTGAAACGTTGCTAATCTCAAGTCTAAATAATGTTCTTTCGAATGATATAAAGATTACTTTGGGCAAATGACTGTGCGTTACGCTATTGCTTCCCAAAGTTGGTTCATATTGCTCACCTTTGATACCTGCCGTCGCTTTACACAAGACAAAATCCATGTGTTTATCGTATAAACAAAATGGTCTCAATTGATATTTGTAACATTTAAATCAAGTCAGTAGTATTAAGAACAAGGTACTTACATGTTTAGTTCTGAAAGTACTCCAAAGTAGCATTTAAACTATGTCTTTTTTATACAAAACATCTCATAAATACTCCTGGCCTGTCAAAATGTCAACAGTTTTGAAACAGTATATCCTATCCATATCAGGTTAGTGTGTTTTCTTACCATCGGAGTCCGTTACAAGCACTAATTTTAACTGAAATTATTAATATCATTCAGCAGTTGCATGAAAAAACGAAAATGTAAATGAATCTAATATACTTTTGCTGTAAATATTAAAATAAACAACAAACCAATCTTTGCAACGTAACTTCCTCTTCAACTTTCTTCAATTTCCTTTTGTGAAAATTTTCATTCGATTAATGTAATACACAACCTGCAAACAGGCATACTCTATAGATGCATTGATGTTACAAAATATGGAAGTTTGCTGCTCGTTAAAGTCAATTGTTGGAGGACTATGTGGAGCGGATACCAGAAATAGAGAACAGGACGAAGTACTAGTAGTCCCCCTTACTTGCGTGCGTGAAAGACATCACAGCACACACGGCATCGTACTCGTTTTCTGGACCGGAAAATGAGCTAGACTTGATCTTGTGTCGTGCTGCTATTTTCACGAGGCCAGATGATATCACTTCAATGTCGATATGTCCTCTTCATCGTGCAAAACTTGGGGTGGGATGGACGAGGGGAGCGAGCACCAGGTGCAGAATACCACCCGTTCTGTCTAACCATGGAAAGACAAAAAAAAGTTGGCCAAAAGGAGATGGAGGGCTCGGAAAGTTACAATCGGAGCTACTGCTACGTGACACTGGTGTCTTTTTACAAGCTGGATCAGGTAATTTAGTAAATAAATTAACGAAATTTCGAAGAATGACTGGTTTATAAAAGCATTCTTCTATATCATTGCAAGGGGTGTGCAGAAAATGCC